TGTGTGAAGGTGTGTGTGTGTGTGAAGGTGTGTGTGTGTGTGAAGGTGTGCGTGTGTGTGTGTGTGCGCGTGTGTGTGTGTAGGTGTGTGTAGGTGTGTGTAGATGTGTGTAGGTGTGTGTGGGTGTGTGGGTGTGTGGCACCCATGTTAAGAAACATTGCCTCAGCAAGCACGGCGGCATCCCAAGGAGCGCGGAGGGTCGGAGAAGGCACCAGGCTCCACAGGCCTCTAGGCCATGCATTCCGAGCCGCGTGCGGGGTCCACCCAGGCCTCTAAAGGGGGGTCGGGTTAGGCTTCTCGAAGCACCTCCACAGGCCCAGCATCCCAACGGGCCTGGTCTCTAACAGGCTCCACTGGCCTCTAGTCGGCATCCCAAGGCGCGGGGGGGGGTGGCATCCCAAGGCGCTCCGGGGGGTCGGGCCAGCCCTCTAAGTCGCGAAGAGGCTCCACAGGCCCGGCATCCCAAGGCGCGCGTGAGATCGAATCAGGCTTCTCTCGGAGGCTCCACGGCTCCATATAGTGGAGTCGATCAGAATCCATAGGTCCGGCATAGGCCAGGCATCCCAAGACGCGCGGGGGGTCGGGCCAGGCCTATAACAAGCTCCACAGGCTCGACATCTCAAGGTGTGCGGGGGGTCGGGCCAGGCCTGTAACAGGCTCCACAGGCCTCCAGACCCGGCATCCCAAGCCACGCGTGAAGTCGATGGGGTCGGGCCAGACATCCAAGGCGCGCGAGGGGTCGGGCCGGGCCTCTCTAACAAATTCCACGGGCTGGCATCCCAAGCCACGCGTGAGGTCGTCCCAGGTCTCCAACAGGTTCCACAGGCTCGTATCACAAGGCGCGCGGGTCGAGGCAGGCCTCGAAGAGGCTCCATAGGCCTCTAGGCCCGGCATCCCAAGGCGCGCGGGGAGTCGGGCGGATCGACCCAGCCCTGCCTGGCATCATTAAGACCGGGCCAGAGGTCTGTGAGTGGGAGTAAATAAGAGTGTGAGTGAGTCAGGACCGGGCCAGAGGTGTGTGAGTGTGAGCGAGCAAGCCAGAGAGGGAGATAACGATGAGGAAGGAGGAGGTAAGGAGGAGGAGGGTGGCGGTGGTGTGGTTGTGCGATGGTGCGTGGTGTGGGGGGGGGGGGCCGCGGACGCACGCCAGAAAAAGTAAGAATTCCTCACAAAGATGTGGGGAATAAGGGTAATTTCAATTATTTGATCTCAAGTATTCATCGTAGAATATATATCTATATGAGAAATTAAAGATATTTAAATGAATATTGTTTCATATAGAAAAAAGAATCAAAAAATTGAATATATATATATATAATTAATGATTCATTTTTCATATTTTATATTACTTAATTCTATGAATATTTAATTATTGATGAGATTATTCATTATTTATTTGAAAAAGAAATCTATATATATATCTATCTATATATATATATAAATATTATATAACATAATAATATCGTTATGAATATGGGAGATTATAGATAGATGAAAATAATCTTTGAATTTGAAAATTATTTATATATATATATATCTAAATCTACTATATATATATATAGAAAAATATTGTTGAATTGAATCGTCTCGTAAGATTTTCAGATATTCGAAGAATCAGAATATCTTGTATTGGAGCTTATCATTATAGAATGGTTTAATTAGAGAAATCATCAATATTTTCGATTCGATCGATTCCAGGAGATGAGAATTCACGAATATCATAAAGATTTTGAATTATTTGAATGATTTAATTCTTCCTCCGCGACGACTATTAATTTTATAGTAATGATCGTCTCCATTTCCGTCTTTATAGCCGCTGACTTGGTTGCGATTATGACGCCAACCCTGGTTATTATGGCTCTAATCTTGAAGAATTTGGATTTCCTAGATCCCAAACAGCCATTGCATAGATCTCAATCTTTAGAATTCAATTTTGTTATTTTGAAAATAGATCCTTGCTAGGTCTTCGAAATGATCGTCTCGATTCAAATTGATCACGACAAGATTCTATATTGAATAAATTTTCGATAAAATATAAATCTCATAGAATAATATGAACGTCCTATCTCAGATCAATAATCGAGACTAAATAAAAAATATCGATAAAAATATAAAAAATATATAAAGAAATTGGAACAGATATGTTATTTCCAATAGTGGGTGACAGACGATCGACAGATATTTTTTATTGCGCGATAATAAATCTTCCGTCGATTCACGATGATTCACGATAAAAATATTAAGGAAATATAAGCAAAGCAGATATCAATATATATGAGTCGTAGATATAATTATTTTAATGATTCAAATAAATGAATAAGAGAGCAATACTATAATAATTTTGAATATCATTCTTCAAGAGACGTTAGGGGTCGCCAGAGAAGAAATATCTATTTCAAATATCATAAGCGTCTAGAGGTTATTTATCCTTATTATAATATTGTTATTCGCCTGTGGCTATGTGATTGGTAGATTCCCTACTTCTAGCGCCAAGGATTGCTTCCGTCGTAATTATCGCGAGGCTTTGAGTTGAATTCCCATATATTCGCTAGCCCAACCAAAACGGGCCGGATTGAAAATGCTTTTTCTATTCATAATACTACGACATATATGGATATATATATATATCTTCTCAAATTATATATCTCGAATTATTCTCTCGATCTATTTGATATACTAGAAGAGCGTATTTATTAAAATTGAATAAAAAAGATCAAATTCAATATCAAAGGGTTTTTGTCATCGCAATAAATCAGGGGAGAAGATTTCAAGGTCGAGAATATTCTGCGTAAAGAGTTGGTCATCATAATATCTTTAATTAATATAAATTTCTATAAATAGGCGGATGTCGTCCGCAATATGATTCGTGATAGTACGATATATAATTGATAACGTGCGAGGCAGGCAAATATACATCCAAAATATTGCGTAGTCTCAATTTGAAAGACTCCCAGAATCGAAATAATCGAAAAATAGGCAATTATAGTATTATTTTTATCATTAAGAAAAAGATTTATAATTTAATAAATGTGGTTGCCGAGTTACACAAAAATACGGAACGAAATTTGGGAAGAGAAATCTATTATCGAATATAAAACAAATTATAAGCCTAATAGTCACCTAACGTATCCAAATTTCTCGATAATTCCCAAGAAATTTAGAATATTCAATTTCTTATGAAAAATATCTTCTATATTATAGAATAGAATCCTATCTATCATAATATAGCTAATTATGTTTCGATAATTAATTTAAGAATAAAATATATATTCAATTCGATAGCTAAGAAACCTAATAACTAAAAATAAAGAAAAATTAAGATTATGTTTTATCTTATAATTATAATATTATTAAGAAAAAATTAATATATATATTTTTAATATATTAATATTTTTTCTATATATATAAATTAATATAAAAATAATAAAAAAACGAATAGTAATAATAATGCATATAACTTCAATAATAAAAATATTATTATAATTCCAATTATCCTAGCCGACCCATTAAAAAATTTAAAGAAAATCCAATAAAAATATTAACAAGTACAATAATATCCCAAAATATCTTCATATATAAATGACCGAGTATTTCATAACCGATATAAAAATTATTATCAAAATATATCTTATATGGTTTGAATTATAAATCATTTCATATAATAATAAGAAAAAAAATTCATAATAACAACGATATATGAAAGAATTCTTCAGAAAATAATTAATGTCCGGACCTTTCAGTTGTTATTATCAGACGGCCTGTCGTTATTATTATTGTTGCTAATAGATTGTTAGCGCGTTTATAAGTTATGCCGCTGCCGTTGCTTACGGCCTCGAGCCCCCGCAAGCTTCTTGTCCAAATCATGTCGTAGGGCTTTGGAGATAGTGACCTTCGCGATCGATGGAGGAATCGCGCTGTATACGGTATTGTCTGTAGTAGCCGTCTCGGCCTTAATCACGTGGGCGTTTGTTTCCGGTCTACGGGCAGCAGCATGGCACCGCGAAGAATGCGGTCTTCTAGGGCAGGTTACGTTTAATTTTTGCTGGCGCCGAGCTAGCGCGGCTCTAGCGCACTGACCTCTCTTACAAATGCCCGAAAATGACCTCGCCGGGTGAGGAAGCCGATGGCGCAACGGCCGTGATATACCTACAACAACAATCCCGTAACCGATGAGTGCTGCTCAGCTACTCTGATGCTCCGAAAGGGTGCTTCCCGTTTGCTTCACCTCGTCCTTTTCCTTCTTCTACTCCCTTCTCAAAACTCTGCTGTTTACTCGGAATGAAAACACCGACGAAGAAGAAGGGGATTTCAAGGCCCTCCCAAAACAAAACAACCCCACCACCCTCCCGGGTCACGGGTGAGCTCGATCTCGCTTTCATGGCTTCTGCTTCAGCTTGAGCATGCGGCATCATGCGGTTCTCAGCATGCGTAGAGCGAAGCTAGCGGTTTTCCTAGCGCCACCTTCGGTAATAAGCGGCTCTAGTTGCGTGCCGCCTCATGGCGAAGAGCATAAAGGATGCACCCTTGACGCATTAATGTCAATTTAAACAAACCAACAGACACGCGACTTTACAACGCATCCCATATCCATGAGGTATCAGCGGGCTGCATTCGCTCCAGGAGATTTCCTGGATGTCTCTTGACCCGGAAATTCAGATCTATTCTGTGTTGTGGTTATGAAACCATCTGAATATTATGTGAATCGTCAGGGAACAGATATATAAAATGGTCCGCTACCGAGTTACGATCTGGGAATGTTGATTCTCGGAGCTGTAAGAGTGTACGAGCTCTGACGATGCTGTGTTGATTTACAAAACAAAGTACAGGTCCTCAGGTTGATTTCAGTTCCAAAATCCGATGTGATATCTAGACTAGAAACCTATAGCCTACAGCAATGGAAAACAACTTGCCTTCTGAATCCGCGTTTGTCAAGTTCTTGACTATGATTCGGTTGTCCAATCATGCCAACCCAGAGTTTTCCTTATGCTAATCAATCGAAGTCATTGTTGGCTTCCTGCTGCGAGCTGCGTCACGAGCCTCTCAGGATCTCTCAGGTGCACAACTTCGGATTCCAACTCCAAACCAGGATCTGAATAAGGCCAGAGCCTTCCCGTTTGAGTAGGCAGGAAAATCGGGGATTGAACCTGCCAGAACACACTTTATGTGATCATTCGTTCCATGGCAGGAGCCCTGCCTGACAAGGCCAAGCTATTCGCACAGGGCAACCAGCTGCTCCAACGGCGGGTGCTGCGTAAGCAGGGGCACAGGAAGCCCTGCAGGACATCATGAATTCGAAAAGGAAAACAACAACACTTGCAAGACCCACTGCCTGGGCGTCAAACTTCCGAAAGTGTTTGCAGCCGGCTGCCCAGTTGTGAATCGTATCTGCCAGTGCTTCTGAGAAGGACAACACCAGCAGCATTGCGGACTGTGGGTCGGCACCACGGTTGGTGCCGGAGATGCTCCAGATTGGATTAGGTGAGGGTAGCCGCCTCGGCGATCCACTATTTGCTCAGACTTGGCAAACCAATCTTCTGCATATCTGGGCACTACACACATGCCGGCACAGGGCCTGAGTCTGCAAAGCCGTCTCTGTCATGACATATATTGCCGCCCAAATCAGACAAGCCTTGAAGGGGGCACTGAGCATGGACGAGAGGCCTGGTCAGAACAGGAAAACACATCTCCCACGCAACATCGTACAACTCCACGCACATACGAGGCCGTTGCCCTTACAGGCGTGGCGCTTCTTGATCCAGAGGGAACCGCAACTGGACAGAGCCATGGAAGTCTACACCTGAGATCACCTCACCGTGCTGTGCCTATTTGAGTCGCTATCGGCTCGGCGGCTGCCGCACTTTGCTGGATGAAGCCTTGGGCCTTCAGCTCCTCACACGCGGAAGAGTAACACTCCTTTTTGCTTGGTCAAGCCGCCAAGGCTTCCAACTTCCAACTAATAGCGCATTTCTTGCAAGGAAACAGCCCGGAAGGATGGGAATTTGACGAGTCAGGGTTTCGTTGGACATAAAGGCATGCGACACGAAACACGACTGCGAACCAAGAGAGAGAGTGGATGGCGCCGATGGAACTTCAGACGTCGCTGGCACGCACCTGCACCCGTAAAGGCCGGGTCGGCGATCGAAGCGTGCCCCCACTTGATATGCGCTCTCCTGAATCTCAGCCCGCTGGCGTTCCACCTGTCGCTCAGAGCTACCAGAATCTCACAACAAAGATATTGGCTTTTAAAAAGTGGGTCCGACAAGCTCGCAGCCACAGCCTCCTGCTTCAGGCGGGAATTCTCGGCATGGAGCGCCTCGCTTCCACGTTCGTAAGCATTTGCAGAGTTCGTGATGGCTCTTTGAGGCTCACGAGCCTCCAGAGTATCCACCCGCGGAACAGCTTTCCTGCCAAGTTGGAGGCACTGGAAGAGGATCCATCAGAGATTGCAGCTTGGCGGGTCCGTGTCCGGATCGAAGCTGAAAGTGCTTCCTGCCAGCTGTGAGAGATGATAGAAGCATCCACAGCGAATCCACGGCATCTGTGACTTCAACGTTTCTTCGCGAAAAAGTACATTGTACATTCATCGCACATCGGATCAGCGGGTTTGACCTTGGTACTTGGTGGAGCCCGCTTCTCGCCGGACTTGGGCACCACCTCAGGGCTTAAGCTCGGCTTGCGTTGCGAAATTTGATCTCTTGGCTTCAAGGGCGAGCACATTGGCCGATTTCACCTGAGGCACGTCTCCTGCAAGGCCAACACTTGAAACAGAAGCAGCTTCAGATTGGGTCGCTCCTGTCTGATCTGGTATGCTCGGCCGCTCATTTTTGGACGGCCTTGTTGAAGTTGCGGATATGTAGCCAGCGCGTAAGACAACATTTCTGGTCATGCAGGCACAATGCTGAATTTTAGCTATGGCACTATCAAGCCGGATCTCCACGCTGGATGATGCAAGGGCACAAATGGCACAAGGGTCAACTGATCTCACTAGACTGAGAATGCCAGGAGTTGCTAGGACAGGCACGGGCCAGCATCGGTTCCACGCAGAGCACGTCCAGAGACTGCCTACGGAAGTTCGGTCTCTTGCACAAAGCGCTTGTCACAAAACCGAACCTGAATTGAAAGGTTTGGCATGTTATGGCGTTCTGCTTAGATGGTGCATGGAATGCAGTCTGGCCTCCGCAGAATTTCGCTTCGGGCTTTTGGGCCTGTCTGAAGACCTCAGGATGCGACGACGACGACGACTGCTTCGACGACAAGCACATCCACGATCAGGACCAGGACCAGGACAACGAGGATGATGACGAAGAACCACACCACCAACAACAACCACCACGACCACCACCACCACCACCACCACCGCCGCCGCCACCACCACCACCACCACCACCACCACCACGCAAACCACGACGACCACCACCACCACCGCCGCCACCGCCACCGCAACCGCCACGGGCAGCAGCAGCAGCAGCAGCAGCAGCAGCAACAGCAGCAGCAGCAGCAGCAGCAACAGCAGCAGGAACAGCAGCAGGAACAGCAGCAGCAACAGCAGCAGCAACAGCAGCAGCACCAACAAAACAATAACACCAACACCAACAGCAACGCAAAAAACCACAAGCACACACACAAGCTTCATCCAACCACCAACGCGACAACACCAGCACCATCACCGGCACCCAAAACCCAACACAGATCGACCAAGAATCAAGATTCAATAACCAAACTGCATCATCCAACATTCAACAAAAAACAGTCAACGCAACCCAATAGCCTGGACAATAGCGCGAATCAGGAGCATAATACCAATGAACGTTCCCCAACCTTCACCACCACCGCCGCCACCACCACCACCACCAACAACAACAACAACAACACCAGCACAACGAGAAGCAGCATAGCGCTCGACCATTTCGATTTTTTCGGCTGGGCTAGATGCGAAGGAGGTGGACTGCTTGATCGCGGTCGAGCCTGCGAAACACATCAAGACTCTTGGCTACTCTTGAGGATACGGTGAAGACCCGCAATGGATTCACGATATGACTCGCGGGACTCTTTGCAAATAACACAACATTCAACAGCTAAAAAAAACTACACGATGCAACAGCAAAGGACCAACAGCAAGGACAGCACAATCCCCACACACTGATTTGCCTTGACGTGTGGGGGCCGTCTCCGCGGAACGGGCCCTGCAAAGCAAGGTGACACTGTGTAGGATACTGCACAGCTATTCGGCTCCGACCAAGCGGTGCAGGCTTGATCGTCCTGCAGAGCACGGCATTTCACATTCCAACCTCGACTCACGCTCTCGCTGCTCTCGGCTCGCCGTTCTGACCCTCGCTCCTTGGGGCTGCCTTTGATGCGGCCTTTTCCATGACCTGCAAAGGGCCGACCCAGTTTGGAGCACGCCGATCAATCACGTGTTGTCGCACACTCCGTACACCACATGTCCTCTTCTTGCAGCTTGATTGCTTCGTGCAGAAAAACTCAGGAAAAGCTCAAAAAAACACGATGCTTCGTCTGGCGTCTGGAAGCTCTGAGCAGACCAGTACGGACTGCTGTAGAAATACGTCCGTGCACAAGTTTTGGCATGTCCGCTGCTGTTTGCATCAACTTCTCAGCTGAATCGCTCCATGAGAAAGCTCCAAGCCGATCAACTCCTAGCCATTCTGCTGTTTCGTCATTTCCGGATTTTGGCTTCGGGTCTGGGTGAAGAAGTCATTGATGTGAGTGGAGGTCCTGAGGAGGGGGCCTGGGCAGGAGTTTGAAACTCGATCGAGCCCCCCCCCCCCCGCCCGCGGACATTGAACTGCGCCTTGATTTCAGCGCGCACTCACACTCGGAAGCATCTGCAGATTGTACGCGATCACAATCACAATGAATGGCACCCGTGGCTCCGATAGTGAGGTGAACGCAGCTTGCCCTAGGGTTAGCTTGTTTTACCTGCGGCATTTTGAAGCCGCCTGAAGCACCGACGAAGAAGAAACAAAGCCTCCGCCTCGCTTACTCCCGGCATCTCTGGGCCGTTGCTTAATCTGCCCCAAATAAATGTCTACAGACAAAAACATGGTGACCTGCTATCGGTTAGACCTAAGTTTGGCTTTGGGTTCGTTCTGGCTCCACTGCTTTATCCGACAGCGGAGAGGCAAAGGTGCTGACTTATTGACTTACTGACTCAGTCCCGATGCTCTGCATCCGTCATGTTGTCAAGATAAGTCGAATAAAGTACAATAAACAGTGCAACGTGAAGCTACATCCAGAAAGCAAGGGCCCTTGCGAACACAAACTGATTGCGTGTTGGAACGGCAGGATTCCAAGCTGAAGGTTTCAGACTTTGGATTCTTGCAGCGCCACTAATCGCTTCCACTCTAGCCGGCAGGGTCAAGGACCTCGCCTTTTCAGCCAGCATTGAAATGCGGAAAGAGTTTTAAATCAAAAAACATGCATGGCACAGGAACCAATCTGAACGCACACAGCAGGAGAATGCTACGCTCCTCAATCTCCATACATCTGCATTGGCTAAAGGACTCACAGGACCATCTTCCGGTGCCTCGCGGTGCCTTTCAAAACATGTCCAACGGCAGCCCCTGTGGGGAAACGCTTCTGCTTGCCTTGTCCTTCTATGTGTCTGCTTCAAGATTTCAGGCCTTTGTATGTGCCATGAGCGGCTTTGCATGCGGAGGCTGAGCTAATTACCACACACCTTGACACATGACCAGGGTGGACATGGAAATGCTGGCTGCTCGTTCGCCATCCACGTGAGCGTATGTAGGCTTCTACAGCTGACTTCACGCGGCACGTTGTTGCACATTCTTGAGCAGAAGATGTTGCAGAAAGATGCAGCAAGCAAATCTGGAATGCGACACGTGTTTGTCACAAGGAGACGTAAGCGGCCTTCTTCGGCTTGTCGCTCAGCACTTGCTGCGAGCTCAACTTCCACAGGAGCTCTGTTGCTGTAGCGTAGGGCTCTTTAGTGGCACAAACTCTTGACATGGGCGTCACAGGCTCTGCAAGGTCTGATCTTTCACGGCGCAGCTGACGGGTATAGTATGATCCCGGCAATGTGCCGGGCACTCCAGGCACTCTGCTTGACGCTTGCCCCGATCTTAAAAGCTGGCGAGTGCAAGCGGCGGGCAGTCTGCACACTGATGCCTGGATAAGAAAAGCACCTTTGGGCATGTCAGTAGGCCATGCCAACAAAGCCTAACAAGCAGTAGTGATCAGTAGTGGGTGTCCAGATATGTCAAGGCACCCGCTCCACTACGCACGCTTCAACACATAATTGTATTCACGGCCAGACTCCAGTCATCACCCGCTCTGTTCCTCCTGTGCAGCACACGGAGCCCAGAAGATCGGTGTTATCTTGCCAGCACAGCCCGAGGGCACCTCCACCTCAGCCAAGGCGACCTCCTGCAACCTGTGTTCCAGGGCCAGCAAGCTTAGGAATCGGAGTGCTGACGGCAGAACGAGCTGGTGCTGTGACGACCACGCGAATGTCAAGATCAATTGTCCCCCCAAGACTGACAAAGCCAGCACAGCAAAGGAGTGGGCATCCACAGATCCGATCTCAAGGTTCCCAGGGCCGGGGATAACGCCACAGATGTTACACTGCTGAGACAAAAGCACTCGATTTGACATGTGAGACATCCTTAACTGGCTTTCACGACCCCCAACGTGTAAGGGACGAGCAGGGGCAGGACGACACCAAGGATAACAAACTTGTGTAGCAAAAGGTCGACTTGGTTGTATCCAGGGAGGACGAAGTCTGGCCGCATGCATCATGTACATGGCCGAGGAAGGCAAGCAACAAGGAAAAACTCAAAAATAGCTGTCTTGCAGACCATGCTTCAATTGCTCAAGACTCTGCTCGTCCAGAAAGCCCTGTGCAGCAAGGGGCCTGGCAACGGACACAAACACTCAACATTTGCATACGTATTTATTTGCTTATTTATTCGTATATGCGTCCATCTGCAACTCTCTATCTCAGTGCGTGTGTGTGTGTGTGTGCGAAATGTCTACACGTATAGGTGAGCACTATTTCTTTGGCATATTGTATATCTATATATACATATGTAGAAGTACATGCGGGCATAACTATGAACGTCTATCTTTATTCATTGTTTGATGCATTTCGTGTTCGGTTGGACTAATCCGTTTCCTAAGGCTTTAGACGCTTCGTTAACACATCAGCTTCCAAGGTGAGCTCTCTTTTTTAGACTCATCCTCTCAAACTCCGCTTGGTTAGCATGTCTAGGAGCAAGAGCGCCATGCGCCCCCCCTGCTTCACTTCACACTCGGCAGGGATTACGCGAACACACACACACACACACACCGCGACCGTGTTTGCCTTCAGAAGCATCAATTCTGGTTCTCAATTGCGACACTTGCCGGAGCTGCGGAACACCAGGGCGTCCCCAGGCAACGTGAGTTGGGAAGGCCTCTCAGGAATTTGCGGAGTGTCCCTGACGAAAACCCTCCTTGTTGCGGGCATGGCCTCCACCTTGAAGGTTTGCGCGACGTACGGGAACTCTTCTGCCTTAAAGACAAGTGCCTCTGAGTGAAGATTCAAGCGTTGAAGCTGCGGCCCGGGCATAGAAGATGAAAACACGAAGGGGCGCTGAAGCAAGACCCTTTGCAGGTGGCGGCGCCTGCGGCTCAAGCACTCACGTGAGTCAAGAGTCAGTCACCAATGAATCGCCCACCATTCCAACAGCCGCTGTGCCGGAAGGCGCCAAGAAGGCTGGCTGAGCCTCCAACGGAGCTTCATACTGATGAGAATGTTCCCATGGCTGCGAACCCGTGGCCGATTCACATGGAGCCTCAGCCGCGTCTGAAGCTCCGAAGCCGGATCGCTTGGCAATCGTGGCCCGGAGGACCGGCAGCTGCCTTGCAGCCAGAGGTAACTTTGACTTCGGCCTACTTCGGCCCTTCGGCCCCCAGGAGGGAGGTCCTCTGACACCAAGGGCATCCTTCGCGAGAGAAAACCATCAAAACCTGTTGCCACAGGCCGTGAGAACAGCTCAGCTGACACGGAGTGCCGTGTGACTCCGAAGGTGTACTATGTTGCCGTTCCCATGACCGTGCCTGTTCCTGGCCTTTCTTGACCGCGTCGGTCATCTCGGCCAACCTCCGGGACTCAGACTTCCTCAGACTCCAGTCGCGTCGGAGTCCAAGCTTCGGGCATTCGCTGCTGCCAACCTTCGCTGACAGGACCATTTCGATGAGCTGGGTCTGCAACACGCAGAAACTGCCTCATCATTCAACATCTGCTTCAACCACGACAGCAGCAACGACCTCCAGAGCTAGGTGCGCTGCCCATCGCTTAGGATGACCTCCTCGCCACTGTTTGGGGTGCCGACAGGTACCTTGAAGACCCCCAATAAGCGATGATGTTACAATCTGCGCTCTACGCACCACTACAGCGGCGACGAACTCACGGCTGCCACTTAAGGGCAACGGCGGCTGAGTTACTCCAATCTTGCTTTGTGTACCAGCGAATTTCTACCACAATACCTCCAGGACTTCTCGTCCGCTAGAAATCCAAAATCCTCGCAATTCATTTCGGGGTGCTGGTGGCTCCGTCTCTCCAAGGCCTTGCAGTTGCGCGCCTGTTGCATGAGACAGTGCTGAGGGTGGACAAGGGAGCCCGCCAGACAGATGTAGTTGGAACTGCTCTAGCACTGGCTGGAGCTACGTCTGCAGCACCGCCTCTCATCGGTTCAAAAGATGACCGCATCTGAGCGCAGTTTGCAAAATGTCAGTCGTACATCTCATGCCGAGGCTCACTCGATGCTTTCGGCGAAACTGAGAGCGCGGCACGCAAAGCCCAAGGCGCAACATAGCTGGCAAGCAACAGAGCCAAAGCACACCTTGGCTGCAGGCTCCCTGCCTTGCGGCGTGCAACATGTACTCAAAAGACTGTGAGCTCCGCCAGGCCCACTTGGATGCGTTCTCTCTGCGTGTCAACAGAGCAATGCCTCCAGAGACACTGATGATTCGTCGGCATCGATATTGTGATGTGAACTTCTGTATACCACATTTTATCAGTAGAGACTGGTAGCAGAAAAAACCAGATGGCACACAACACCTGGCAATTGTATCATATGGTAGGCAGAAAACAGAATCACAGCATGTAAAACCATGATGGAACAAAGACAGTATGATAGTACGAGTCATACTGAAGAATGCAGTACCTAATACTTCGTAGCAGCTAGACTACTAGTAGCAATTAGTAGTATTAGTACCAGTAGCAGCAGCAGCAGCAGCAGCAGCAGCAGCAGCAGCAGCAGTAGCATTAGTAGTATTAGTAGGAGTAGTAGTAGTAGTAGTAGTAGTAGTAGCAGTAGCAGTAGTAGTAGTAGTAGTAGCAGTAGTAGTAGTAGTAGTAGTAGTAGTAGTAGTAGTAGTAACGAGAACTCTTACTATAGCTGGGCAAATACTTCTGCAACACATGATATGATGATGCCGGGTGTGTTGTTGCGGGTGATAGACGGTAAAGCCGTTGCCACTGCAGCTGCCGCTGCCGCTGCCGCTGCCGCTGCCGCTGCGGCGGCTGCTGCTGCTGCTGCTGCTGGTGCTGGTGCTGGTGCTGGTGCTGGTGCTGGTGCCATTGCCGTTATTGTCGTTGTTGCTGTTGCAAAGTAGTGTGAAGAGTACTCACTCAGCTACTAAGCTGCTCTGGCAGCCCCGCCTACGACTGCTGCAGTCAAACCCGGCAGCACTTGGATGAGGAGGTTCGGCGCCAAAAGAAACACACCGATGACCAGCACAATTGCCATCACCTGCGCTTTAACAACTCCTCCTGCAGCTGCCGAATCCAGGGAAGCCGGCCTTTCTCCTGCTCTGCAGCTCTGGATTGTTTGCTCTGGCATCTTCGGGTGCCTGCAAGCCAGGGATTGCTCGGGTACCTTTGCGGCCTGACAGGCTGGCAGTGAAGAAGACACCAACCAGCGGTAGCAGCCTCTTCCCCATCTTGTCCAGAAAATTGGCGCCACATTTGCTCAGCCTCATCGTAACTGACCTCGGCCATACTATAGTTCAAAGAGTGAGAAGTGCTGACAACAATACCCAGAACACCTTTTCGTCGGTGCATGGGAAGCCAGGGAACATAGGAGCGAGTACCACCGGTGCGATCGTACCTGCTGTCAAAGTGACATTGCCAAAGATTCGGATGCAGGTTCGCAGGCAGGTCAAACAACTATGCTGAATCGCGTCGAGGTCACTCAGCACGCTTCTGGGGATCTCTCAGGACTGAATAGGCTTCGGAAATTCGCTTGAACCCGACCTGCGATCAGTGCAGGCGAACGCAGATGATGTCGACCCACTCTGAAAAAATGCAGGAGGCCTCTGCATCCTTGACTTTGTCTCGGTTCTTGTCCGGATGGTAGCGCAAAGCTAAACTCCTGTAGGCCTTAGCGATGTCCGCCTGCCAGCTCAACACGATCAGTTCCTGCCACTGTGTTTCCAAGTAGACTATTGGTGCTCGAGTGATCTGATGAAGCGGTCAGGAAGATTCAATAGATGCAAAAATACGGAATCCTCTCCAGAAGCTTGCAGCGCGAACCTCGCTGGCTGTGCGGGGCACACCCAATACTGCGTAATGATCTCCGGAAGAGAAATCCACAGGCACTGAGGATGCCATCCTGGCAGAAGCAGGTACTATCTAGTATCCCGTGGCCAACCTGTTGGCAAAACAGTTTGACGAGGACAACTGTCAGCTGAGAGCTGCATTCGCGAGCTTCGGCTCGCGCACACCCCCAACCGAGCAAACGCTGTGCTTAAACAGAGACGCGCCACGGCAAGAATGCCATGGCAGCCCGTGACATCCCGCCTGTCGTAACCATGCACGTCCTTAGAATCCTGCTGATGTGAATGAGCAAAGTATGCATCAAGCCACCCCAAAGATTGTGCCAAATGCATGATGATGCACCGAACTGCGAATGTCTGCAGGACACTTCAGATCACACACATGCAAATGCATAAGATGAGCGAACAGGGCACGCAGGACACAAGCTACAAACAGCAGAACATAAAAATCGAATGCACATGCTGCATGGATGACACATCGTGATGTGGTTTTGCAACAGGGTACAGGCAGGACCCATCAAACGCGGCAGTTGGTCACTTCGCCGCACGCGTTTTCCGGTGGTGAAACCGGAGGCAAAGACTGTGTCAACCGATGCTGAAAAGGTGCCACTTTCACTTTCACAAGAAAGGTGGAAACGAATCGCACATAGCTGGTCTACTGCTAACCTGCTGCATGAATCGACCCGTGTGTAGTCGCAAAGCCATCATCTCTATCATGAGCAAGAGGAACGAACCTAGCTTTAAGCCGACAGCGAGCATCAAGAAGCCAACACGAGCCAGTGCCATGCAGCACGCAAGAAGTTGCGGCCGCCATCCGCGACTTCCACCGAGGCTTGATTATCAACATCTCCGCGTAAAGAGGTGATATGCTCATCTTGTATGCAAACAACTGTTCAGACCGGCCTTTTTCAATGATCCGTCGCCGCAAGATTGAGATACGCGTCATTTCGAAATTTCTTCAGTGCACGACACGGAGAGAAGCGGCATGTGGGCGAGGACTTGCCTCACCAATCTAATCTCCAAAGCAAAGCCTCATGTTAAGGCAATGCTGTGCTGGAGTTTCAAGCAACCACGGTGACACACCGTCTCAGACTCAGAGCTAGCCTTGTCCATTCTTTGGGAAAGGTCTTGCAGAGTATCCGCTCTGATACTTCCTCCGCCTCGGAGCAATCAACGCCAAGATCCGAGACCTGACGACATGTAGTTGGGTCTCCCGGCAAGCAGAGGCATTCGGGCTGAGGTGGGGGATGAGGAAATTGGTTCCCTGAGCTCTGGCGCAGTCGGCCGAAGGTTTTTCGCCTGCTTCAGCTCCTCCGGTGGCGAAGGGAACCGCTGTGGCTTCACAAGGGGCTGACGTTCCTCAGGAGTATAATACTTGGTGGTGATGTCTCTCCCCGAGCCCGGACAATCGGGATGGTTTTGGCACCGCATTTCCGGGCTCGAAACTTGACACTGCTTGATGAGCCACGTGCGTCCACACTGGGAGCACTGATTGAAGGGACCGTAAGGTTCCCTGTTGGCCTGGTACACACTATGCCAGCTCTGTCTCGTCGCAGACCGCCAAAGCCAGTGTAGATAGTAGTTCACGCCAAGCCAAATAATCAGCAGCACAAGCCCAACACATCGGTCAACTATGAATCGATGCTCCAAAACGAAATGGCTTGCAGCAAAACTAAGAAGCACAGTCTGAATACAGATCAGCACTTGAAAACTGCAGGCAAAGATTATGTATCCATCGGCCGCAGTTAGGTACTCCTTTCGGGGCAAGGTGTCGTCGATGACGTAACGGTAAGCCAGGACTGCAAGAAAACAGGTGCTCAGATGCCCAAGACGGCCGCTGACATCTTCAAGATGAATGGAAAAAGTACAAAGGCTAATGATGTTCACTAAGAAGACCATAAACAGCACGCTGTGGAAGTAGTAATCGCCTTCAGGGAGATTTGCACGGGGTACTCGCACCCAGGCTGCAACCAACTTTCGTGCGACCATCTAGTTTGGTGGCACGCGTCAATGCTGACTGCACGAATGCTCCGCATGCTTTGCTGTGAGGATTGCAAGCTCAACTTCGAATTCTCTGTGTGCTGTGGACATGGCTGGGATGCAAGGAAACCTCCCGGCGCCTTTCCGCTCAAGGTGGAAGATGACAGAGACGCACGAACGCTGGGCTTCGTATGGGAAGTACCTACACCGAGGCATGTATGCTGATGTGCGCATCGGTTCTGATGCTTCTAGCCAATGCCTGAGCTAACACTTTGTAACCTGGAACGCTTGATCAGATTCCTAGGTGCATGAAGCAAAATGCCGTCCCACCTGTCGCAGTGTCGAACGTAAACCGTGCATTTTTGCTGAATGCTGTTGTCGCAGGCCCACATATCACAAACCTGCGCTATCTTCTTCACGCCCGTGACCGGGACGAACCTTGGCCGGTTTACTCGAGGCAGTTCAGCCTCAGCAGCACAATATGCCAACGTGCTAGTCAAGCTGCTGGAACTCATCGATTAGCTTTTCCGCTGTCATCTTGATCCTAGCCACGGCAAGAGGCTCGACACTCCCAAGGCATGAGAGCCTTCCCGTCCCATGCTGGGTAACCCAAGACGAAGCATGCGACACAGTCCTCTCCCGATTCTGGCATCGTATGTACCCTCTTTGGAAACCATTCAGTGCGAAGTCGGTCGGTGAACTGCAGTGAAATCAAACTCTGAGACAAAACCGCTAAAAGCTCGTTTCCTTTCCACGTTTGCACATGCTCGCCAGAATTTCCCGTGCCGTTTCTACCAAACCTACGACATTCAACACCAAACTTGCCCGAATCTGAAGGCACAATGCGTTTCGCTGCACATGCACAGAGCCCTGTCTCAACTCAAACACAGAACACTGAAGGAAATCGACGAAGAACGAAGCACGGAGAGAATGCTAGGTCTTCGATATCCTGACCACCGCTGGCGCGGTTTGCTCCCGTGCTTCTCTTGGCGGCATTCACGTTGCCTCTCCTAAAGTTAAGTGTCCTCGATCTGTGGGGCCGTCGCGTCATGGTTAAGGGTTCTCGATTCGGGCTTAGGGTTGGTTGAGGGTTTCGGTTGAGGGTTTTGAGCTTTTTGCTTAGCGTATCGGGCTCCGGGTTTGGGGTTTAGGGTTGAGGGTTCAACGCGATCCGAGGTCTGTGGAGTGGATTAAGGGTTTGAGGCTTGGGGTTTGTGGCTGAGGGATTTGGGTCTTTGAAGTTGTGCTTCACGGCTTGAATCTGCTAAAGCGGCGGGTGCTATCCTGCAGTAACCGACAGTATACTTTATATCCGCCCCCAACATCCACACCCTGAACGTGTTCAATTCCTAGGAGATTCTGCGGGATACCTGTGCGGAATACACTGCAGCGTACGTGGTGGGCGCGGGCTTGCAGGGATGACCAAATGGCCTTTACCACGATCTGCTTTTCGTAGGGTTTCTGCGAGCTCTATTTTCGGATTCTCGTGTGTCGCCTACGCAGTTGCATCATCGTCATTATCATCATACCGGTATACATGGTCGATCCAGACGGCCCACGTTTCGAGGTGCCCAAAGCACCGGGGTGGATGATTTTGGCTGACAATTCCTTCCGTTCTCTTCTCCTTCAGTTCTTTCTTCACTGAGTCTTTTTGGGCGGGAATGCATCAGCAAGTCCCACAACAAAACGACTTATACAAAACAAGTCGGAAAACGACTTGGAAAACAAGGGAGACCGAAACGGAACACAACGGAAATCACGGGAGAGACATTCGGAAAGCATGAGCGAACATCTGCACAACATCACGAGCGATGTGTACAAAGGCAGCAAAACAAGCCACAGCTCAAACAACAGCGAACGGGTGTCTGGTCTTCGGCCGCACAACAATAATCAAATAGAGCTGATGCTCATGATTAGAGTTAGAAGGACCGTTCCTATGGAGGCGGCCCAAACAGTCAGTTCTAGGAAAAATGTAAAATAAAGGCAAAAAAAGCGATAGAGCTGGAACAAGGTGAAACAAAAAAGAAAATGCAAAAGAAAAGGTGGGGAAAATGTGAAGACCAGGCACAGGCTACGTGACTCGGATGTTCCTGCACTCAAAAAGAAAAAATGATTATACAAAAGAGTTCCAAAACGTAAGCAAAAAAGGGTCAAGGCCACGTAAAGGACAGGTGTGTGGGAAATCCCGGATCACCTGGCCTGCGTCTGGCATTTACCCTTGTTTTACCTTTTGGTCACATCTTTTTCACCTTGTTTTACCGTTATACACCTGTTCTTTCCTTTGTAACGGAAACTGATGGGGACGCGCGTCCCAGCCCGCCCACCTGCCTTACTTCTTTATGTTAGCTGTTATTCAAACTGACATCTGCCTTTGTCTCCATGGATCGGACCTTCTAAGATTAGAGGATCAAGTACGATCGTGGTCGGTGGGGCCGGGGCAAACTACCTCTTCACCTACAACCTACTCAAAAGAGGCCCCCTGTTCCACTAAGTAAAGCGAGATGGGCTTACACCAAGGTCTTGCGAACCTTAACCCTAAACCTTCAGCCCAAAAATGTCCCGACCCAAGAATTTATGTAAACCCTGAACGTTCAAGTTGCAGCGCTTGCCACCGACACAGAACCTTGAATGCATATAGGCAATACACAATGCCTGAAATTTCGGGATGCTGACCTTCCGCTGCCTGAACGCCTCCAACAAGTCCTTCTAATTGTTGGGCGGCAAACCCTGAATATTGTGTGGTGGTTGACAAGCCCGAAATCCAATCGGAGATGCTGCAACCGTAAAAGAGATGTTGATTGCCACGCCACAGAACCCCCAAGGGAGAAGTTGGTTGACAAGCCCCAAACCCTAAATGAACATGTTTGCTGCCAAAACCCCAAACCTTCAAAGGAGTAAACCTCAAACCTAAAAGGAGATGGTGGTTGGCAACCCTAAACCCTGAACTAAGATCGCGGGTGGCAACCCCCAAACCCGGAAAACAAGATCTTGGCTTGCGAACCATAAGAAATGAAAGTGATGTCGTTGTTAAACCCGGAATACTATCCGAATCTGCTTTCTGAATCTGCCCGCTGGTTCTTCTAAATTGCTTTCCTGACTCACCGCACCGTTTTCAGAAATCTCTTCGAGCCGAGCTCAGCTGCTGGCTGTGCAAAACCTTTGGCGCCCCCTCTCTCCCTGCAATTTCGCGGGGGTACCCGTCCTGCACAGCTGGCGGTCCAAAGGGAAGCTGTGCAACTCGAGGCTTTCTTGAAAGGTGGCATAGTATTTCATGGAATACGAAACGAAGCCGCCTTCATCACCACACCAGAGAAGCGTTCTTTTCTCAAGCGTTTGCAAGGCATCATTCTGCATGTTCAAGAAGGAGAAATCGGGAAAGAAATGCTGGCTCCAGTCTGGATCTTTGAGGTTGACATAGTCGAACTTTGAGAGCGTCTGGGCGTGCTTTGTCCCATGCTCCACAAAGTCGATATCACCATTCGCATATTTCCTCTTCAGCAGAATCTTTTTTCGCGTCAGATGGGGCTCGTCCGCCGAAACTGTCTGTCGCAAGGTGACCTCAGACTCGAAGTTTTTGAGGTCAGGATCAAGCCAAGCTAGTTTGAGCACGAAGATCATATTGAACCTCGGATGGAAAAGAATCCCCGTTCGCAGTTTGGTGTGGAGGTTCGGGCGAGTGAAACGTTAAAGCTGCGCTCTAATGGAAATCGTTTCGAGGCATTCGGGATGCTAGCATACTCTGCACAGTCAGCATGGAGCGAGCAACTCTTCATTCTGGTCATCCACCTTCTTCAGCTCATGTGGGTTCACGTCGACATACACCTTGATGGCCCTAGAGCAATCAACTCTGGTGCCGCCGTCTTTGCTATTGCAATTCTTCATGTACTCCTTCAGCACCTTACTCGAATCACTCACAACCGGTGATCAAGTGGTCTTGGACAAGAGCAGTGCATGTCGCCATGCAAGCCGATGCTTGCACATTGACGTGAACTTCACATGGCTGATATAAGTCCGGGGACAGAAAAACCTTTGTCCTCTACACACCCGGACTGGCGGCCTGATTTAGCTGCATGTGCCAATCGGCCGCCGCAGTAATTGCAGCGAGGGCACGCCGTCCTCATAGCCTTCCGGTTGAACTTTGCTGATATCTACCTCCTGCAACAAAGCTAAGCATCCCATCCCCATGATGGCTGCCACAACTGCTGGGGTTAGCGGTTACCATGCAATCCTTTCCCTGAAGACTATGGACCTTGCAATCCAGCTCCTCTATGCGAAAAATATCCGACTTTTAGTGAGAGGTAAGTCCTCGTCATCTGACGAGCTCTGATCCTCCGTTCGCACGCAGGGTGCATAGACACATCGAGTATCATCCAACCACATGCAGAGCAGATGGAGGGCCCATCGGACATCCGTCACACAACGCAGAACTGTGCTACCGCTTCCTGCACAAGTGCGTGCTGATTAACACAAGACATCAAGAAAGAAACAAAACTAGAGTGCTCAGAGAACCAACATCCAGCTGCGGTGGCCGGATTGTAGCGGCTGAAGATCTCAAGGGTCCCTCCCTCACGTCGGCATGCAGTAGCAACTCTCTAGTTCCTTGCAAAGTCAGCCAGACTGCAGAGAGAGTTCTAGAGTCTGTTCTGCAGAACCCACTGGCCGTTGCACTGGTCGCTGCAAAGAGAGACTTGACTCTTGCACACTTTTGTCCACATGGATTCGAACGCGGCATGAGCCTGCTCACAAGGTATCACAGGGGTTTCCCTGCTGCGGCTCAAGAATGCTATGGCCGTGCGAGAGTGTTGCCCCAGAGATCCTGCTTTGCGTGCCCGACCCGTACCGGCTGTAAATTCCAGGGCGACACTCCGCTGGCCGGAAACCAAAAGAGATCAATGCCTAATGCGCTCTCGTGAGAGCTGAAACACATTATCCTGCCCTGGCTGTACACCTCCCCTGTCAGGAGAGGACGGGTAAGATCTCAGAATGCTACGACAGCTGAGAAATCAAAAGCACAGTTTGAGCGTGGCTCTGCTGTGAGGTCGAAAGTACAAGTGGAAAATTGGCCTCCACTTCTCCGGCATCGCCTCTTGCAATAGATTCTGCAGAGCACGCGACATCGGACCAGGAGTGGTTTCTCAACAATATGCACAGTGCTCGAATAGTGCTATGAGTGCTCTCCGAAACCACCCTGTGTTGGCTGCTTATGGTTTGCAGCACAACCCCAAGTCAACGTGCTCTGCGCGTGCCTCCCAAACCCATTCCACCATGAGTCTGCTAGCTCTGTCAGGATGACTCTCAGAGCAAGATCACAAAGACCGCTTTCTTGAGCATCGGAATTCGTCAGGTTAGGTTCAGGAGGAATCTCTCACATCGGCATATATACAAACGACAGGTCACCCCGCTTTCTCTGCACCATTCCTGAGGTGCAAGGGCTTGGCTGTAGATATGTCAAGTCGTGCAAGACATGCAGCTGATCATACGTCCCCAAATGCTGTAAGTTGTCTCTGGACTGTTATGGGGTCCGATGTTAGGCCTTTCGCTAGTTCTCCATTAGATATCACCTCGAAACTTTTGACAGCACCTGCAGTCAGAACTATGAGCAGGTTCAGGTTGACAGTCGCTACTGCGGCCTGGCTCGTTGCAGGGCCATCTTCCTCGCTGAGGTACACTTCGACCAGCCAGGGCAGACCCGTTGCGAAGCTGTTCCTAGTGCCACACGGCCCGATTCGAGCACAGCATCGCAGCTGGGTCTCCCACGCCTTCGAACGGCGTGTGGGCCGAAATCGTTCGAAAGCTAAAACAACATGTCCACAGCAAGAAGCAACACAAACTTGCGTTTGATCACGGCTGGGTGGCATAATCACGGAGGTTCAAAAGATGCTAGGAGCACTGGAAATCGGACATCTAACGCCACATGCACATCCGGAAGAGGCTTCCTTGTCGTGTCCAAGAACCTGGCGACTCAAGCTGCTCTGAGCCAGAGGATGAAGTTTTCTGTCACCATTGGACCCTGGCATGCCTCTCCACGTTCATGTTCCTGCTTGGTCTTTCAGGCCGACAGCCCTCTGCCGACCTTCCCCTTCCCCGCAACGGTTCCATGCTACCTGCTATCCCTCACGAGCTGCGCATGAGGCTGATGCTGCAGCAAATGCCACATGGCATCTGCAATTTAGGCAGCAGCAATTGTATCCGCCAACTCTGCCATCTACAGTCAGTCTTAAGTGCCGCTTGGTGTCCATCCGCGCGGGCGAGCCTTCAGCTGGCCGGACGCCTCGAGTATCGAGAATGTCTCCGCACTCTCCTATGTGCCTTCATTGACTCATGGCGCTTCAGGAACACTTTTTTCGGCACCAGCGCAAGATTGCATGGGGCACGATTGCAGTGTACGTAGTGATAGTGACTTTTGGTTTTGAATTTTCGCTAGATATCAGAAAGTTACTGTTTGGCCCAGATCCACTTTAGACTTGACACCCAGCTTGTTGCGAGCGTTGGCCATGCTTAATTGCGCTTTTGAGATTCTATCTGCTTTTATCGATGCCCAGGAAGCTCAGATCCAGTTTGATGTTTGTTATTTCGCTCAGGATTGAGGACCCTGTCACAGATCCCCACACATGAAGCGTGCCTTTGTGGGCGGTTTGAGGAGGGGCCACTTGTCGTTTTTATCTGTCTTCCTGTCCTCCTCCGCAGTACAGCCAGGAAAGCAAAGCCTCTACTAAACTACTCTCTGCACTCTCTTTCTCTCGCTCTTTGCTTCTCTTTAGCACCACGTCTCGAACCTGCTGTCACAGCTGTGGGGGGCTACCGGCTAGAGTCTTAGAGCCCGCGGTGCAAGCACCCGAGTTCACGCGTGCGTGTCCGTCTCCTCAATACCCTGTTTCTTCTCCTTCGTTCTCATGGTCAATCCTCCAATTCCCATCACTCATCTGTTTTTCTGGGACCTTCATGCCCTTCCCGCTGATCCAAGGTGCGCGATAGAAACGCTCCAGGATTGCTTCTGCCGTATCCTGGCGATCAGACATGGTGAAAGAACATCTCGGCAATTCTGGCTTGCAAGTTTCTCCCGATCTTTGACTGCACCTGCGCTGCGGCTTCCCGTGGAGGTGGCGAAAACCTGAGAGCTTACAGAGTCTATATTGCTATTCCTTCTCCTTCTTCTACCCATACTTCTACTTCTCCTTCTCCGTTTCCATATCCTTTTCCGGCCGCTACCGCTACCGCTACCACTGCCACTACCAACACCACTACCACTACCACTACCACTACCACTACCACGACCACCATCAAAATTACTACGACGACGACGACGACTACTACTACTACTACTACTATTACTACTCCTGCTGCTGCTGCTGCTGCTACTACTACTACTACCACCACTACCACTACCACTACCACTACCACTACCACTACCACTACCACT